CAAGAAATAGTAAAAGGTGTGGATGTCGCGTTAGAAAACAATTATTGACGGACTGGATCCAGGGCAGAACTACTACGTGCGTGCATTTGCTCGGAATGAGAATGGCTATGGAACGAGTACTACCGACTTGCAGCAGCGTGGACGAGGTGCATTACCGCTTCAAACAGCCGTATCGACGTCTCCTGACCCACCAGGTATCAATGGAATGTGGCCTTTATCCGGGTCACAACTGGAGCTTCGACTGTCTAACCCAGTGGATCATGGCGACTCTGTCTCAAAATATTTGTTCGAGTATGCAGTGGGCGAATCATTTGGAAAAGTTGCGACCAAGAAAGTTTTCGTCTATAATTCTATCGAGAACGACATCGCTGGCACCTTCCGCTTACAGTACGGAGACGACGTGACCTCCCTGCTGTCTGTACACACCACAGCTAGCTCTCTTCAAAGCGCTCTTAATAGTCTTTCTTCTGTCCGTCCTGTCTCAGTCTCTCGTGCGCTGTATGTGCTCACGGGAAGTCCTAGCGTGACCTTTACGTCGGCAAGTAATCGTCTTACAACGCCAACGTTGAGTGCATTTCAGTGCGCGATGCTTGTGAAGGGAGCAGGTATTGACGTTGGAGGGAAGCGCTTTATCGTTAGAGCGCAGCCGGTGGAAGGAAGCTCCAGTATTGACGTGGAGTTAGGACATGGCGCTCCAGACTTTACAGAGAATAAGGATCTACTCAAATTGGATAATTCTGGAAGTGAACGTGGCCCGTATGGCTACATCTGGACGATCTCGTTCGACAATGACGCAGGGGACGTGGTGCACGGCAAATACCCAGGACTGCAGTTTATTTCTCAGCTCACTTCTATCGACATGAGTCTAACGATACCAGTGAGCTCATACGGCGTTGAGCTCGGTAAAACTGGTATTCCAGCCGATCATTACGGCTTCTTTGAGATCAATAACGACGACAAAGTGTGTGACACGTACGTCGTGGGAGCTCCTTCGTCCGTTCAAGTGGTTCGTCTGTTTGCTCCGACGACAGCTACGGATGGTTCGTTCAAACTCAAGCTGGGGAGCGAGACGACAGCGGATTGTATCACGTTGGGTAAATCTGGAACATTGAGTAGTTTGAAAGCGAATCTGGAAGCTCTAGATCTGGTTTCGAAAGTGACGGTGGACGAAGTGCGTGCATTCAAAGTCACAACCACAGCGACAGTCACAGACTATGATAATACCGGGAAACTGACTGTGGCGAGCGCTTTCACTAGTGCCCAAGTGGGTGTGTTACTACAAGACAGCATCATCCAAGTGAGTCGGAACCCCAACGATTTCTCCAGACATTCGTGTGAATTTGTCGTCGATGCTCCGCCTACCGCTGGACTCACGAAGATTTCTGTCACTCCACGAGGATCCTGCGATTATTTTACTGACGAAGCTCGAGTGTTGAAGATTTTGGACTTTCACGACTACCACGTGCGTTTCTGGGGGGATCGATGGAGTTTTGGGAGGAACTCTGTCGACGGAAGAGAGGTGGATCCGGATCCGGATCTAGAAGAGAAACCTCTCTATCCTCCCCAGGTCCCCTCGGGGACCCCTGCGGATCTTGACGCAAGTCAAGATCCGCTAACAAAACAAGGGAAAGTGAAGGCGAAACGGTATGCATTTGCAGATTCACCGGTTAAGCCAACACCGTACCTAAACCCAAGCCCGCTAGTCGAAGAAACAAGAAAGAAGACGAAAACGAGTAAGACTACGCGGAAGAAGATGCAAGCTCCAGAGTCGGAAGAAGACCAAGCTGGATCCAGGTCAAGCTGGTCCGACAAGGATCTCGAGTTTGTGTATCGCCACCAAGCTCTACGCGATTTCCTGCATCAAGATCCTGTCATGCAGATCCTGAATCCACGACAAATCGAAGATCCAAGGGAACCGGTGAGAGCACCAACGAAAACGGCGAACAAGTTGGTGGCAGTCAAAGATCTATTACGTTTGCTTACGGAGTCAGGCATCGTAGCTGGTGTGTTCGACGCAGAGGATATCTTCGAGCTAGACCTGGCTCTCATAGTATCCGCGACGCGGGACCTCTTTGCCAGAGTTAAGTCCATCACCGGAGAAAGGTCGCGCACTATGGATCCAGTGTCGTCGCCCAGGATCAGCCAAGCTGCGTCCTCAAACTACGAATCCGCCGCTGAGGATGAGTCAGACACGTCGTCCGAACCACGACGCATGACTTTAGGACCCTCCGGGGCATCCATGCTGGAAGCGCGGGCGAGGATCCGAGGACAGGAAGCCCCTGTGAACGTGAAAGCTCGGGATCCAGTACGCCCTACGCGTGATCTGACACAATCCAGCCAGGATCGAGCCAGATCCGGCAAGAAGCCAGTGGGATTATCGTCAGATCAGGCTCGAGGTAATCGCCTCACGGATCCAGTCCCGCCAGTGGACCAGACGGCCACAGGCTCTTCCGACACTTCCTCGGGCACCCTGCAGCGGCACTTTGAAGCTGCGATGAATCGCTTCCTGGCCGAACAGGGTATGAGAGCGCCCGTGCCACAAGTGCAAGTGCTCCACGAACATGGAGCACGGGACGTGGAGATGGAGTCAGTAGAGGGGGACAACTCCCAAGATGAGTTCGACCCAGACGATCTGGATGGCCCATCCACTTAAGGCAGCCGTGGTAGTGTGGTGTAGCGGGATCAGCA